ATATATATAAGAGAAAATATATATATATATATATATATATATATATATATATATATATATATATACCAAATATATATATGGAAGTAACTTTCTACCTCCATATATAAGTGTTAATATTTTTTTGAAACACTCTATATTCTATTCTATATTCTCTATCCTGTTTATGTCAAATAATATTCTGTTTATGTAATACACGGAAATTATAACGATTCGCTTCTTCTTCAGTAACAAGTAACAGTAATGAGACACTTTTAAATAAGAATTCTCTCAACTTTGGGGCTTAATAATATTAACAAACATCGAATATTCGGGCTACGTGAAAATTTCGCGTACGTATATATCGCACCACGTGACCGACTCGACACGGTCACGTAATACTTACATGTGACACATGTGCCATTCCCAAAGATGCTTGGGTATAGCCGGGCGGAAGTCCGCGGTGCCCGCGTTCAGAATCCTCGCCGTGAACCGCAACAGCCGTCTGGTCTCCAGATACCAGTTTGCGGAGTCCTTTTGCACTTTGTAGGCCTGCGAGGCCACGCAATTTTCCTCCATCGCGCATTGCAACAAATACAGCTGGCGATCTTCCAGATGCGCGGTGCGCATCAGCTCGATGTGATCGAACACGAGATCAGCCATCTCGCGTTGGCACACCACGCCAGCTATGTTTTTCGCTATTCCTGAAATCGCCGTCGGGTCGCGGTCACTCTCGCGATACCGTTTGATTTCGATTTAGTGTGAAAAAAGACCTGTCCCAACAAATCGAGTTGAATAAACTCAATTTCGGAGTTGCGTACACTGAGAGAGAAAAAATGTTTAACAGATAAAAGTTACTCGGTGGATATTAACAACATTTGTTTACACTAATATTGTACATTAAAAACAAATTTTTTGCGGACAATATGTTTTCCTAACACTGTAACTTTTCATGGAAGTAATAGTTTAATCTTTTTAGATAAAAGAGAGAATTTAGATTGAAGTAAATATATATTATTAATTGTGCGAATAAATATTTTTTATTGTTTGGAAATTTTCTCAGTATATAGCCAACTAGGTAAATTTTTTAGCAAAATTCGTGTTGTTTTCATTTTTTGTTAGTATACAAAACAAGCTCGAAATATAGTTCCACGAAGCGATCATTAAAGCGG